AATATCGAACTGTGCGCTTGCGATCATTGCCCCAAACAGAACATTTCGGGTTACCACGGAATGGCCTCTCATAACAGAGACATGCATAGGAAGATTAGCAAGTTTGCTTGCATATTCTGTTACAATTCATTTCCAACTAAGAGCAGCCTTGACCAGCACCATGGTTTTTGTCAAATCAAGAGGGGTAGTTTTAATTCCTCTGATGAGTATAATAATGAAAACCATATTAAATTTGATTTTGTGGTTATATTGTTTTAATTGAATTCCTTATGAATTAATATTTATGGAATGAAATGACAAATAGTTCATTTACAAAATTTGGTATGTAATCTATCAATATTTTGGTTTGAAAAGAAGCTTGATATTTCTGATACTGTTGTCTAATCTAATTTTTTTTTTTCCAGATTATGAGGCTAGGCGCCCAGCATACTAGGTAAGAGTTACCTTTTATAACTATGTGTCTTGCAGATATGTCTTTCGCGATGCATAAAGTAATTTAGCATATTTAACCATGTTAAGGCCTTTCAGCATGAGTCACTTTAATTCTGTGTCTCACTCTATTTCGGCATGAATCACTCTAGAGTAACTTAACCATGTTAATTTCGCTTGAAGAGATAGGCATCTATGTTTCCACTTCCATGACACATTGTTATTCTCTATTTGGTTAGCATAAAGTAATTTAGCATACATAAATTGATTTGTAGAGAAATGAACATAACACAGTGGAAATCTGAATCATGCCTCACTGTTACTATTGAAAAATAACTCTGAATCACATCTCAACTTTCACAAAAATAAAAATTCTTGAAATGTCTTAAACATGGAACTTAACAAACACATAGTAGTTTTAACAGCACAGTTTTCCAAATTGCAATAATAACCAAAGTTGGCTATCAAATCGTAGTTTTAATAGCATAGCTTTCCCTTTATGAGACATCTACATGCAAGACCAACCCACTTCATTGCTAGCTCCCAAAGGAGATATAGTGAGCTGATCCCCTTGTTGCTGAAAGATGCTTTCTTTTCAATAATGGTGGTTGTCCTGTAAGTCATTCTTTGCTAAAAGAATGTTCTTGAATCAAGTTTTTCAACCAAAAATAAAAATTTAGCTTTTCAAGAATGTCCTGTTGAGATTGAATAGTAAGGAACACCACTACTCAGTAACTGATGTCGTGAGACCATATTTCCTGCTGCAGATTAAGTACAGAATATCACCATGAAAGGAATTATATATAAAATTAATACAAGCGTCATGATTTATTGATTTATTGACCTTAATGTAGTTCTCCTCTTTGTATTGGACTGATTTATTGACTTATTGAATTTTGCAGGTTGAGTGGGCAGCATTTGATGGGACAAAGAAAGGGAGATAGGTGGGGGAACTTGCTTGACTATGATTTGTTTTTCTATGTTGTTTTGACATTTGATCATTGAGATTAGCCAAGATGAAATCAGAAATTGACATCCTTCTTTTTCAAAAGCAAACTATATGTCTTCTTTAATGCTTCTTATATATCTCCTCTTTTTTTTTTTATCTCCTTCCAGACATTAAATCTCCTATTATAATGAGCAAAGAGCAATTTGATCATAAATTTGAGATAGTCAGCAACTTTGTATACTCTCTATGCAAAAGTAGCTATTAGAGATGATTCTACCGCACTTTTGTATTTTAGCTGTGAGCATGGATATGGTAATAGGAGATCTGCACTTTAAAAGAGAAGTTTACTAATTATGTGGAAAGTTTTTGTAGTTTTATTTTTTTGTCCTTGCTCAAGCTGATTACCATGTAGTTATTTAAACCTATGCACATCCTTCATGTTGGTATATTATGTTACAATCTGATGTCAGGTAGCTTATGCATCCCCATTGCTAAATATACTACATTTGCATTTTTGTTCATAAAATTGATCCAATTAGTTTCTTGCTTTCTCAATCAGGGACCCACCACGCTAAAAACGACGTAAAAAATTAGACCGAACAACGACCTATTCACCTGAATTGAAGTAATTTATTTTTTAAAATAAAATTTTAATTTTAAATTTTATAAATAAAAAAAATATTAAAAAGATTTTTCTTTATAAAATTTAACGTAATTTATTTTTAAATTAATTAAAAATCGGCGTGATTATTAAATATGAAAAAGTTAATAAAAAAAAAAATTTTAGAGCACGAGAGCGACTAGATGGACGGAAAATGGATGTCATCAGCCGGCAGTCATCAGCATTCGACGTCGTCGTTAGATGTATCCGTAGCCATCCAATGAAACTAGTACACGTAGCGCCTTGCCGGAAAAGTCAGACTTTTCCTTGGAAACTTATTAGTAGTACACATGACTCCATTAGTCCATTGTATGGCATTAGCAGCCCTTTTAGACTGACAATTTTAATACTTTGATTTGTATTTATTGGGACAACTGAAATATGGATGTACTTTCTTATAATTTCGTCTTTGAGAGGATTGTTAGATCAAAATTAATTTTAATTCTTTAATTTTAAGGTTTTATATAATTTTTATTTTTTTAAAATTTTTTATGTATTTTTTTGGTTCATTGATTATGAAATATGTATTTTTAAAATTTTTTATTAATTAAGGTCCAACTACATTAAGCGTCATGATTAACTGTTTTTAGTCTATTAACTACCACCTTAATTTCATTTTAGTCTAGAAATTATGTTTTATTTCTAAGTGGTCTATTAACTTTCAGATTCATTTTAATTTCGTCTACTTGATCAAAGATAACGGAAAACTTCCTATTTTGTTAGAAAACAGTTAGTCCTCTAATTATATTTTTTTTATCTTTTAGTTCTCAAATTTATATTTGTTATAAAATAGCTTTTATACTTAAAATTATTATTTTTAGGCTCTAATACCAGATTTTTATACTTAAAATTATTATTTTGAAGTGGTCTATTAACTTTTAGGCTTTGATACCAAATTAAAGAAATAGAAAAATCCATATAAAAATCTGGTATCAGAGCTTATAAATAATAATTTTAAGTAAAAAAGTTATTTTTATAACAAATATAAATTTAATGACTAAAGGATCAAAAAAAATATAGTCAGAGGACTAACTGTTCTCTAACAATAAGAAGTTTTCCGTTATCTTTGACCAAGTAGATGAAATTGAAATGAATCTGAAAGTTAATAGACCACTTAGAAATAAAACATAGTTTCTAGACTAAAATGAAATCAAGGTGATAGATAATAGACTAAAAATTAAATTAAGCCCCGATAAGAAGGAATTCTTCACCTCATGCTAACGACTTTGATTGGAGGCTTCAACTTGAGCCACTTTACATATTTGAACTTGGAAAGGCTTCGACCACTTGGCAAAAATGGTCGCCGCTGACATTCCCTAAGTGTGGTAGAAGAAGTGGCAGAAACA